GTACTTTAACAGCTAAAATTCAGTGGCAAATCATTTTACCTTTGTTAATGACAGCTACACACATACTCTGACGGGTAAAATTAAGTGCCAAACCATGCTACCTTTGTGAATGTTACCTACAAGCATACTTTAACGGGTAAAATGAAGTGGCAAACCATCCTGGCTGTATGCATATGACCTACAAGCATACTCTGATGGGCAAAGTTAAGCGGCAAACCGTCATACCTACTTAAATTGGTGCTGGAATGACTCTGTGACAGCAGAAATGTGCATAAACTACTTATGGTAGGACGTTTTGCTAAAGTAGGATGGTTTGTCAGAACACCGGCCTTTATTCTTCATGTGACCCTGTCGCTGGTTCATCACTGTTCCCTTCTTGGACCACTTGATGCGCCAATGATTGTTTTTTGCTCCACACTTTTCCTGCTTCTAACACATAAACTTTATACGACGTGTTAGCAGTGCTACGATGAACAGATCATCTTCATTATGGCACTAACAGGTGTCATGATGAAGAAACAATCAGTGTGATTCCCTTCATATGACCGTGGTCGTGACTATTAAGACTGATCGGTGTATAAAAGACAAAAAAAACTTTCGTAGTGGCCAAATCAATAATCTGGTTCATTCTCAGAAACAAGGAAGACACTGGTGAGCTCAGGAACATCAAAGGCCTGAAAGACCACAGAAGACAACTAAAGTGGACGATTACAGAATTCATTACTTGCTTAAGAAAACATCTAACAACAACATCTAACCAGCCAAGAACATTCTAAGAGAACAAAGGTTAAATTATGTAAAAGAGAGAGATGCAAATCTTTGGGCAGATGAAACCAAGATTAACCAGGACCAGGACGACTTAAGAGGCAAGCAGCTCATGATCTGAAGCATAACACATCACCTGTCAAACATGGTGCAGGCAATGTTTTGACATGTGTTTGTATGGCTGCCAGTGGAAGTGGGTCACTAGTATTTATTGATGATGTGACTGCTGATAGAAGCAGCGGGAGTTGTGAAGCGTACAGGATTATACTCTCCTCAGATTCAGGCAAATGCTGCAAAACTAATCAGAGCTTCACAAGGTATTAAAGATGAACGCCTGCATTTCAATCACATGTTGTGTGATTTAAACGCCACTGTGGTGGTGTACAGACGCAACATTAAAAAGGAAAGTGCCATTGTCCAAAAACGCATGCACAGATATACTGCTGGGTCCCTTTGAATGCTCCTGTATTAACATCACCCGGTGCCAGTTCGGATCAATAACCGTAATCTCGGTGCTTATTTTTAAATTATTCCCCCAAGTCTTGGAAACAAGAGGAGAAAAGATCCTTTGAAAATGGACACACATAAAAGAAATCCTGATATTTTTTTCACAGGGTTGTGTATCTGCTGTGATCCCGGTTGGGTAAAAATCTGCAGCAGCTGCTATCACGGCCTGAACACCTTGTTCGAATAAAGTAGCAGCTCATTTTGGAGCTCAGGACCAGAGGAAAATACGCAGCACACAAACACACACACAAAAACACACACTTTGCGTCTTTGGGTGAGTGTCTGTCCTTTAATCGAGCTGTAAGATGAGCTGGTGCCGTTTCTGCTGCAGTGAGCGTTCTGCCGGGCCCCGCAGGTCCCAGAGCAGCGCCTCTTCCCCAGCCAGCCGGGCCGGAGCCAGAGGAGCTGCCTGGTGGACCCGATCCCGGCTCAGCTGGTGGGTACTGTGAATAATTGATGGCGTTATGAATGCACCACAGCATAGAGCCAGGCTCGGGGCGGCAAGAAGACAGAAAACATCTCAGAAGAGAGTGACGG